CCCTACGTAACCCCATAACCCGTTTGGAAAAATGGACCTAACCCCTATGTAGCCCCCGTGTAACCCCTATATAACCCCCTATGGAACTCCTGTAATTTCTTTAGAGGTATTTGGATCCCTTTTGTAATCGGGGCTGGTTGTGTAAGGCAGGAGCCTACATCAAGCCCGAAGTCAGGTAAGGCCTGGATGGCAACCTGTCCTCCTCGTTTCTAAGTAGGTTGATCGTCCCCCTTAAGTAGATAGAATATGGGGTATATGAGGATCATATTATAATATACCCAAAGCCATATTCTATCTACATAAGGGGGACTGTAGCGGTTTAGGGTTGAAAGGTTTTAAGATTTAGGGATGCCAAGATCCTGCCTGACCTTAACTACTCTGAACCTTGATGCAGGGGTTTCAGTACCAGCGCTTTGGGGCTGGTCCTTCAATTGGTATTACCTCTGCCCCTCTGATGACACACCCCCAAACCCTAAACCCCAAACCCTAAACCCCATATATCCCTATAGTACCCTTACATACCCCCTAAAACCCTAAAGCCTGCCTACGATCTTCCCACCTAACCTCACCTCTCCCGGCCTCCCAGGCAGTATGTGTCTGGTCTTTTCCTCCCAGCCACCCTCCGCATCCGCAGTGCCACATGCCGGGGACACAGGGTTTTTGGGCTTGTGGAGGTGTAATTATATTGGGGTTATATTAGGGTTATATTGGGGTTATATTGGGGTTATATTTAGGGTTTGCGGCGCAGGGGGAAAGAGTAGGTAAAGTTTGCGTTTCTGCGTTTGATGTCCTACCGTTCATCCTTGAGGATGACGCAGGGAAAAGCTTAGGCTAGATGCTTAAATCCTGAAGTCAGCGGTGTTGAAGGGAGAGTGGGGAGGGTGGATCCCCATAGTAACCTCTATAAAACACCCTTGAAGAGTACTCATACTCCCTCCTTAAGCACCAGTAAGTGAGACGTCGGCGGGTGAGGGTGAGGCTGCGCTCTGTACTCAAATGCCTTTCCGCAACTTGCCAGAATTCACCTAGGTCGTCACGCTACCAAATGTGGGTGTGACTTGTAGAGTGAAATGGGTAGAGCAGGTGGTGCTAGTTGCGGGGCTAGTCTGCAGTTTTGCTGCTATCTTGGACAAGGTTTTTGCATGACAGCTTGGGCTACAATTCCCCAAGGGTCCAAGGACCCAAATAATGGGGCTTTAGGGCCCAAATACCATTAATATTAATCTATATTATAGTATTGGGGCCCTAAAACCCTGTTATTTGGGTCCTTGGACCCTTAGGGATTTATATGAAATCAGGAGCTCCATCCCACAGGGGCTATTGTAGAGAGGTTTTAGGGTTCACTGTTCATGGACATTGGGCCACTGTCTTACCTAGGTAAGCCCCTGCTACGCTCCAAACCCTCAACCCTAAGTAGGCAGGGTAGTGCTCTATGCAAACTCAGGGCACCTATTCAGGTACACTCTAGACACTAGTCCCTGAAACGTAGTCTCTGAAACCCACACCTCAACCTTTCAACCTCCTTGAACCCCAAACTTAGGCAAAACAATGGCCCAAAACCCATAAAAAGACTCAAGCAGAGAGCACTGTTGTAGGTACCATCAGGTCCAGGTAGAACCCGGCCAAGCTACCATACTCTAAGATGACATCCTAGACCAAATATATATATATATATATGGTATGTTGGGGTAATCATGTTACATCTGGGAAGTGTAACCACACTGAGGCCATAATGGACTGCCGCGGGCTTCAAGTCATTGACGTCATTGATGAGGCATCCAAGCCTGGTTCTTTGTCGTAGCGACCCCTCTCTTAGTGTAGAGTTTAAGTTTAGGGTTTAACGTTTGATGGGCTTAGGCTTTAGGGTTGAGGGCTTGGGGCTTAGGGCTTAGGGCTTGGGGTTTGGGGACTCCATTGAGTGCGGGCTTTCAAGGACGGCCAGTTTTTTGCAGCGGCAAGCCTGATGGCTCTTAAATGGAGCCGGATACCACAACACCGCGCATAATCAATTAAGGCAAATATTATTCCTTTCCCAACTTACCCCACATGTCTCACCCCTTCACCAGATAAGTTTTTCCCTCAAAACGGCGCAGTGCAGAAAGATATTTTGGGGTTCCAGTCAGTGCAGAGAGATTTTTTCACCGCGCGTCCTGTCTTTCCCTTAATATTAAACGACATACCTTCCCCCCGAATATATGTATTCCGGGCCCGAAGAGCTCTTTAATATTTGGGGGGGTACTTATATTGAAAGCATCAGATCATAGCGCTGCCTCTAAAAGCCCTTTAAGTCGTTTTAATTGAAATCCAATTTCGAACGCGTGGAAATGCTATTAAAAATTACTTCAAACCGATTCAAAACTTGGCGAAACCTGAGCACGGAGGTTTTCAGCTCTTCGACCTCTGTTCGGGTCCTGTCTCATTGCTGGGTTTCTGCTACCCCTTCTCGGGGTCCTGTCTCACCTTTGTTCGGGGTTGGGGTATACATCATCCACATATTTTAATCTTAAGTGCCGAAACAGGGGTTGGCAAAAAGCAGTTGAACAAACATCTAGCTGCACTAGCCGAAGACTACCTTAAAGGCATCTGCACATCTTAATCTTGGCGAATGAGGTGAAACACAGATCTGGTCTAGCGACGTACCGTAGGAGGAAGCCTCCAAGTATACCACTTTGGAAGGCTTTCCGAGACCCAATGCTTCTCCGCAGATCTGTACTTTGTAGTGTTCTTGCTAAGAAATCCTGATGCGCCCTAAACCCTAAACCCTGAATCGTTCAAACTCAAACAAACCGCAGTCAAAATCCTTTTAATCTTTCTACTTGGGGGATGGTAAAATACAGCAGGGGCCGTTTTGGGGTCCCGATAACAAGGATTATCTTATACTGGGGTCTACGATGACACCTCTAGTGCATGGATCCCCCTAGATCCTAAGCCCCAACACAAACCCCATACCCAAAACCCAAAACCTCAACCCCAAATCCTTAATTCTAGAACCTAAACCCTGAAAACACAAAACCCCAAAACCTCACCTCAACCCAAACCCTAAACCCCAAAACCAAAACCCCAAACCCTCAACCTGAAAACCCCGACCCTAAACCCTGAATCTTAACGACTAGACACTGGGCAATTTAAAGCGACCTCACCCGACCTCAACATAAATGGTGGCTTATACAGGGAACAGTACCAAAATAGCCTTAACTTCGGAATTGAATTAATTCTAAATTACCCTCTAGACAACTGCTGGTGACTGCCAGGTCCCTCGGCGGCCACACACCCAAGGCTTGTAGGGTTTTAAGGGTTTCGGATTTAGGGTTTAGGATTGAGGGTTTAGGGTCTAGTAATTACGATTGAGGGTTTAGGGTTTAGGGGTCCTAGGGTTGAAGGTTTAGGGTGCAGGGGTTTATGGTTTAGGATGTAGGGGTTGAGGGTTTAGGCGGTCGAGGATTTGGGGGTCAGGGTCACGATTTACGGTTGAGGAACAACCAGCCCAAAGCTATCATGGAAGCCTAAAAGAAAAAGTACAACGGGATTTGAAATGATCTTCTGTGGGTTTCCATGTCCCCACAGTCTAAACTTCTGAAATTCTAAAAAGAGTTGTGTAGGGGTTAGGGGAGTATAGGAGCTGCAACGGGGGGTGCTAGGAGTTGAAACTATAGTTCATGTGAGTTTGCGGACGATAAGGCTCGTGGCTTAAGGTCCAGGATGTACTGTGTGTGACGTAGGGCTTCAACGGCCAGGCTGGTGCATCCGGCAGCGTCCCAACAATCTCATCGCTCAAAATCTCCAACGTGATGGGCGAACAAGTTGAACTGCAGGTACAGATGGCTGGCTGCCCAAAATGCGCACACAACTCAACATCGTCGGTTTCACGAACATCAGCACACATCAGCCAAAGTCCAGCAGTTGAATGCTAAACCACGCTGTAATCATGTATATCCGATCAACAACTTTGGTCTGGCGCGAATTCACCTTTAATTCAAGTTCAGGTTGCCCTCCATTCCCTTGACAATCAACAGCCTCTGCATGCTAGAGTTTTTTTCTATTTCCCTGAGACACATACAGAGGTTAGGCACCCGGATCCTCCAAGCATGCTACCAGGACAAGCAAAGGTTGTGACTTTGGCAGCGCAGTCGAAACCTGAGTCTGGGTAGGCCTTTGGGTTCCTTAAATAATTTCCCTTATTGGTTTTATAGGGACCCAACTATACTAATATTTTCTAGGGTCTCTAAAGGCCAACCAAGGAGTCTCCAGCTTTTCAAGCAGTAGTGGCGATGGTGGTGGTTCTAGAGGAGGTAGTAGAGTGGCACTGCTAAGTGGTGTTGGTGGCACTGCTGCTAGTGGGAGCTGCCTTGAGGTGCTATAGGAGATTCAGCAGGGCAGGTCAGGGCCATTTGCCCCTTCCGTACCTTCAGGTTCATTTTGAATTTTAATGGCGCTGAACCTTTCTAGGTTTGTCTGGTCCATAGTCAGTAGAACCCTCTTTGAACGGCCTCAAGTTGCTGTGAAGCTGCAGTTTTGTTGACGGAAGCGAGGACGCTCGCTGCTTCCTCCCGCCACTTTCTTCGTTTCCCAAACACGCAGGAACCTGAAAAATCGGGCCCCTGAAAGGCCAGGCCCGCTTTAGAGGGAACCCATGGGACCTTCCTTGCTAGTGTCAAGGACAATAGCCTTCCAAAAGGATTCTGACAGGGAGGGTGCCCGTGTATAGGATCAAAAGGTCCCGTAGATCACTCTGCAGGATGTACCTGGACACAATGCCTTCCAGGTAAAACACGGCACGAGCGAAGCTTTGCCTTTTAACTTCGTTGGCAACGCAGCCAACGATGAACAACTGCACCCTTTCCTTAGCAAGCACTTCAGTATTTCAGTGGACACGCGTGTATTTTGGCCGTTTCAGACTTGAATTTCGAAATTATTGGTTCTGCATCCACTTGCCTACGTGGCTCAAGGAATCTTTGCGGTTATCGCAGTATTTCCTGATTGCAACCAGCCGTTGTCTTGCAATGCGCATCCTTTTTGCGCTCCTGGCTTTTGCCACCTCCATGCGGGTTGAAGTCTTCAACCAGACACAGCTTCCAAAAGGAGGGAAAGGCGAGAAATGCAGCTGCAACAAGGATCCTGTGGCCAAGCAAGACTGCTGCGCAGCAGGTCTTGTATGCAGCAAGCTTCGCAAATGTCAGCCTGCCCTAGGGTCTCCCTGTGAAAAGAGCGCCTTCCACAAGGTCTTTGGAGGCAGCGAGTGCTCAAGCAGCAGCTATCAAGAACGGCACTCCAAACGAAAGATCATCTGCCAGCCAAAGCCAGAGGGCAAGTCGGTGTGCTGCGTGAAGAAGGGGTCAGTGTCTAGAGCGGTTTCAGAAGTCTGGGCAATTTAGAGCTGCCTCACCCTAAATGGTGGTTTATATAGGGAATAGTACCAAAATGGTCTAAGTTGGGAACTGATTTTTTCCTAAATTGCCCTGGAAGTAACGTTTCTTTCTTTTCAGTATGGGAGAATGCTTATGTCTTATGTATGTCCAATAACGCGAGTTTTGAGGAATTCCAACTGTCCCTGAGGTGTATCCGGCCTGGATCCCTGATGGGGAAGGAAGTTTCTCCCTGTGCTGCAGTGGCAGAGGCTACATGCGCGACACTGCGGATGCCGGGAAAGCCTTCCTCGATTTGGCCAAAGACACTAGTGAGCATGTGTGCTATGAGGACTGATTTGAGCTGTAGTCTAAACTCCTAAAAGGGTGGTTATATAGGGACTTATATAGATGACTACTATAGGGAATATTAAGGGGGATATTCGGAGTTTAGACTCTGGCTCTTTTGGTGAGCTGCGCAAGAAAGCCTTTACCACCTTGCATCCTTAGTTCAGTTGTTTAGGCCCCACGCAGGGGACGCCAATCTATATAGCATGGCTACTACAGCATGAAGTACTGACAAGGACTAGCTTATATATTGAAAATTGTTGAAGGGGTCTATTTGTGTTGAATCCCGATTAGTGCGGGGGTCTTGAATAAAGCACGAGGTTGGCTTCCTATGATGTTAATTCGTTTGCAATTGCTTTTTCTGGGTGTTCAAGACCAGGCCGAATAACGTAAAGGCCGAGGACCCTGCCATTCCTTTTCTCTTGAAAGCTAGACTGAGCAAGTCCTTATGGATTCAACAGGAGCCGAAGGATCCCTCTTCTTTTCTTCTTTTTTTAAGGAGCCATGGTATCCTCCAGGCCTGCAATTTGTTTTGAGGCCTTTTTATTGTAAGGGCTCCCTTTTTGTTTGGGGGGGCCACACTGATCAGGCTCCCACATTACCCTACTTACCACCACCAACCCTACGCCCTTACCCCCTCTAAACCTCAAAACCCAAAACTCCAAAACCCTAAGCCCACACGGCAGGCCAAATTTTGTTTTCATTCCCTGCTCATTCCCAATAATTTTTCACTGGTGCACAGTAGCACAAGAGATCCGACCCCCGAGGTCAAGGATAGGCGCGGACAACGGGCCCTCCACAAGGTGAGGACTAGGGGTTTAGGGCTGAGGGTTTACGGTATTTGGGGCTAAAGGTTGAGGGCGTAAAGTTTGGTATTAGGGCACAAGGTGAGGTTTAGGGGTTTAGGGCTAAGAGTTTACGGGATTTAGAGCTAAAGGGTTAGGGTTTTAAGTTTCAGAACACTCTAAAGTTTGGTATTAGGGCTTAGGGTTCAGTGTTTTGAGTGAACTTGAGTGCTTCAGGATTACTCTTCCAAACCCAATGTGGGGATCCCCCTCTAAATGACAGCAGTCTTCATACGGCATGAGGCCCCTAAACCTTGAACCTAATGGGATTCAGTATTTAGTTGGGGAGGGTAGGATTCAGGTTGGGGTCTATGGTTTAGTGCTTAGGGGGGGGTACATTATCGTCCTAGTATCCCCGTTAATAAGCCCCGTAATACTCCCCGATATAATCCCCTACATAACCCCTTCAAGGGGGTTTAGACTATAGCTCACATAGGTTTCAGTGTTTCAGGCCGCATAGTCAAAAGTAGCAGAATAGGAGTTGTGGTTAGGGTTGAGAGCTGTTGAGCACCCGCAAGTTGCAAGGTTTGGATGAAGCAATCTTAGTCTCAGGGTTAAGGGTTTGGGTTAAGAGTTTAGGATTTAGGGTTTAGGGTTAAAGGTTTACGTTTCAGGGTGTAAGTACTCCCTTTCATGCTGTGAGGGCCCTTGACAGGCAAGATGGAATTTGAAGTCATGCATCCAAAGCTCCCCAAACAGACCCAGACCCCCAAAAGGATCTAAAAATTAGATCCCCTAGAACCATAGGGGGAATGATATGAGGATTCTATAGGGGTTAGAATGGGCCTATATAGGGGATCTAATTTTTAGATCCTCCCAGGGGTCTGGGGACGTGATATCTGACATCCCATGCCCTTCTAATAAGGTCCGTCTTTGGGGTGTCATTGGAAGCTCCCCAGACCTTTAGTCCACCCCTGCAAAAGCATCCTGGTGGGGCTCCATGTGAGATTTAGAGAGGGTACGCCCCAAATAAAAGGACCTGAACCTCAACCAAAATCTACCTTGACTCCTGAAATCACCAAGCCTGCCACTCATACTGCTCCTTCAGGCGTGCCAGCGAGGATCTCATCCGGCCAGACGCCCAGCTAAGCCCCCAAAAAGATTCAGAACTCTAATTCCGAACCATTCCAAAGCCAAGATGAAGCCCCAAAAGAGCTCTACAAAGACCATCACCCCTCAGAAGTGGAAGAAGGAAGAAGGGAAGAATCACCCAAAAGAGCTCGACAAGAAAAAATGCCCCTTAGAATCGGGGCCGTATGGGGGTTCCATATGAATCCCCAAAACCTCAAGCCCCAGTTCCTACAAATAGGGGAAGCCAATCTCGACCCCAAGTAGAATATATTGTATTATACGATCTTATTTTATACTATATTATATCCTGCTACATTACATTGTATTATATTCTCTTATGCCCTTATCATTAGCACCCGCGGACCTGTCTCAATCCGCCGATAGACGGATGGCTTAGGATTCGGTTTTGGTGTCAGAAATCAGTGTAAGGACTTGTTTTCAGAGTTTAGGGCTTGATGGGTTTGACTTGTAGGGTTTGGGTTGGGAGTTACGGTTTCCTAGTACCATCCCCTGCATGATCCACTAGTGAGGTCCCTAAACCCTACAGCACAATCCAAACCCTAATCCCTAAATCCTGAACCCCAAACCCCCAAGCCCCTGTTTGGGAAGAGCACAGGGGTTTAAGGTCGGGGGTTGTAGGTGGATTAGCGGAGGCTGAATGAGCCGCCATGGCATAGAGGTAGCAGAGAACCCCAACCGTCTGAGCAGAGCCTCCAGGGTTCTGTAGACTCAGGTGACTGTTGAGTCGAGCCATCCTAGTTTACGGAAAATGAGCCATAAGCCATCTGCCTCAAACCCAGTACTTGAACAATTCCTGGTGGATAGCATGGAATCGAGGAATTGCCTCCTGTAGAAGCATCTATATACTCCCTTATATGAAAATCGTCGCTGTATCTTATGCTTTTATTGCATGGGCCTGACATCCTACATATCCCTCAATGACATTTGTTCCATCGGATTGTCATGAATTGTCCATTCCGTGCTCACCACCCTAAACCCTAAACTCCGAAGGGTGGTTTTCCCTTTTTTCCTTAACCCTATCAAGACTCTATATGTATACGTAGTTCCCTTTAAGTAGATAGAATACTTATGGCTTTGGGCATAGTATAATAAGATCCCCATATACCCAATTGTCTATCTACTTAAGGGGGACTATACACTTTTTGAACTGGTTTGGCAACTATGCAACCAGGGCAGCCAAGCTGCTTCCTGATGGCCGTTGGGAGGACATCTGGTAAGACGTGGGTTTGGGTTTAGAAATAGGGGTGTAGGATTTTGGGGTTTAGGTTTTTCGGATAGGCGTGAGGGTTAAGGGGTTAGGAATTGAGGTGCAGGGTGTGCAGGCAAGGTCGCGCGTGCGGGCGTGCACCGCGCCTGTCCGCGCCTTAGAAACATCCTCAGGGATGTCTGCAGCGCCACCCTAAAGGAGGCTGATTGGTCATAATTTCCGGTGGCACTTCTTGCTACAATGAGGCCCAACGTTCCCTCTCAATGAAGCTTGTTTAGGGCTATTCAACGCCACTCAATTAGGGGGGAGCCCTAGTTTGGGAGTCCATGCATGTAGGGCTGCATGGGTTTGAGCATCTGCTTTCTTAACGACCTTGGTCAAGGGTACATCGACGCCCATGCTGCAAGAAGCATATAGACCACTGCAGTAATCCAAGCGTTCAGGGTGATGCCAGACAGAATGACAGGAATAGTCATAGACCTCTAGATAACGCGTGTTTCCATGCACTTTCCATGTTTTCTCCATTTCATGCTCCTGGCCTTCCAAAAGTAGGAGGTCCCTCAGCACGGCCCATGTTGTTACAGCTTCTAGCCCACAGCCCAGGCAAACCGTAAACGTTCCATCTTGTTCTTTGTGTTGCTAGTGGTTCGTAGGAGGGGCTACTTGAGGGGATGAAAAGATCTTGCCGTAAAGATCCATGCGTTCATTCCTGAACCACCAGTAAGGCCTCGAACCGGACAAAATGTTTTATTTTGAGACCAAGCCTGGCAGAGTTGACTAAGGAATACACTCGAACTATGTTTCAGGGTTCCCCCAGCCAACATCCTTGATCCGCCAAATTTCTCTATTATGTTGTGGGATTAGATTGGGGATTTTTTTTTTCTAGGGGTAATTGGTGCCAAACAGAAGGGATTGGAACCCCATCTTCGCAACCTGGCAGGAGCTATTCCTCCAGAAGCTACACCTGGGTTTTGAGACCCCGGAAGTCTTGGACCTTTGGGTCTGGAACTTACGCAATGCTTTTGCACATACCTCGGGTTGGACCGGCATTTCTTTCCTTTTTCAAAAAAGTTTTCCCGTGTTTAGGGCCTGGAGTGAGGATGGGATTGAGCGACGGGGTTTGGGGACTTGAGGTTACAGGGCGTTGCTTCATAGTTAACGCTGAGGTTTATAGGATTGTGAAGCCGAGACTGAAGGATTCGCTTGGAATTCGGCAGGTGTTTGTGTCTAGGCATTGGATTTGGGAAGCACTTCTTCTGAAACTGAAGAGATTTGTTCTGCTTGGAGCATTGCTGCCTGATGCGCGGTGTCATATCCTGAAGATATTCTGGGTTTCCGCTAACTAAGTTTCTGGGAGTCCCTTCAATATGTTTCATACTATTTGCAGTGTACATCAGGGCAGGGAATTTAAATTCCCACCAAGGCCTGTCCAGCGCCTGGGTGACAATCCCAGCTGTGGCCCTGGTGGTTGCGCTGCAAGTGCTGAAGTCAGGGGTCCCCCTTAGGGGAAGCACAATTAGAAACGCAGCGAAGCTCAAATGCAAAAAGTCGAACTCCGGCCAGCCTCCGGGCCTTCCCAGACTGTCAGGTCTTTGCAGCCTTTGCAAACTCCGGAACCTTCCACGCCCTTCTGCGCGGCGCCTCCAGTCCCAAGTCTTCCAGCCTCCAGGCCCGATCCCAGGACGCCAAAGTGGGTTTGAAAGGCCTTAGCAGCTGAAATTGAAATGTTGCGAACACCAAATGCTGCCGAAAAGAGGAAATTTGGGGTGCCAGCCTGAAACCAAAAAGCAGCAAAGTTGGGTGGGTGCCTGTGTAGTCAGGATGTGGAAAGAGCAGAGATGAAAAAAGGCACAATTTCTGGGTGTG